AGAGAGAGAGAAAGAGAGAGAGAGGGAGAAAGAGAAAGAGAGGGAGGGAGAGGGAGAGAGGGAGGAAGAGAGAAGGAGGGAGAGAAAGGGAGAGCGGGAGAGAGGGAGAGGGAGAGAGACCGCAGCGAAAAGGAAAAGAAGAGAGCAGAGCGTTAGTTTGAGGCTTCGTGTGAGGTGGGAGGGGCAGAGAGAGGGCAGAATAGGGGGTGTGAAAGCAGCCAATCCATAGGGCCAGGAAGAACCCCTTGGGGTAGGCGGGGGTCTCACCCCCTAAGCAGTTAAGAGGGCAGAATGAGAAGCAGAGACCGTTTTCCTTAAAAGAGCCGCTTCATTTCTGCATGATGCGGAACGAACTCTCGGAAGAGAAATTTAAATTCAAGATGGCGTTCCCCCCCCCCCAGACTTGATTTTTTATTCCCCGAGCCTGGGCTTTGTACCCACAGCAGCCTCCGGGAGGCAGTGGATGATGGGAATCGATGTACCCCCTTGGCTTCAGAGAGTACCGAGAAAGGCAGCGAGGCCCATCAGCCTGGGCTAGGTTACAAGCCCAAAGGGAGCAGGCCGATCCTAAATGGAGACGGATTGCGGGACGACGTTACAGGCGGTCCTCCGCGAACGACTGCAGCCGAGCCCAAAACGTCTGCCGCGAACCGAGACAGCGGTTCAGTGAGCTTTGCCCCGTTTTGTGACCTATCCGGCCGCTCTGTCCTTAAGTGAATCACTGTAGTTGTTAAATCAGTAGGACAGTCGCTAAGCGAATCCGGCTTCCCCCACTGGTGAGGAAGGTCGCAAAAGGGGAATCGCCTGACCCCCGGGACGCGGAAACCGTCGTAAATACGAGTCAGTTGTCTTTAGTGGCGGAATTTGGATCACGTGACCGTGGGGAATGCCACAAGCGTTGTTAAGTGGGTGAAAAAACGGTCCTAAGTTCCTTTTTTCCAGTGCCGTCGTAATTTTGAACGGTCACTAAATGAACTGTTCATTTAGTGACCGTTCATCTGCCTGTACTCAGATGAGAAGATGGCATTTTTTCCGCGTACTTAATATTTTTTCCTTTTTGCATTGACAAATAACAATCTCATGGACATTATATGTCACTGAGTTATTATTTATTTGACTTTTATCTACGCCCATAAATAATAATAATAATAATGCTAATCATAATACTAAAGTTTGAAGGTCATACTTTAATATTATGATTAGCATTATTATTATTATTATTATTATTTATGGGCGTAGATAAAGGTCATCTAGTCCAATCCCCTGCTCAGGCAGGAAACCCTATACCATTTCAGACAAATGGCTGTCCAGTCTCTTCTTAAAAACTTCCAGTGTTGGAGCATTCAGAGCTTCTGGAGGCAAGGAGTTCCACTGGTTAATTGTTCTCACTTTCAAGAAATTTCTCCTTAGTTCTAGGTTGCTTCTCTCCTTGATGAGTTTCCATCCGTTGCTTCTTGTCCTGCCTTCGGGCGCTTTGGAGAATAGCTTGACTCCCTCTTCTTTGGGGCAGCCCCTGAGATACTGGAAGACTGCTATCATGTCCCCCCTCGTCCTTCTCTTCATTAAACTAGACAGACCCAATTCCAGCAACCGTTCCTTATATGTTTTAGCCTCCAGTCCCCTAATCATCTTTGTTGCTCTTCTCTGTACTCTTTCTAGAGTCTCTGCATCTTTTTTACATCGTGGTGACCAAAACTGGATGCCGTATTGCAAGTGTGGCCTTACCAAGGCCTTGTAAAGTGGTATTAACACTTCACCTGATCTTGATTCTGTCCCTCTATTAGTGCAGCTTAGCACTGTGTTGGCCTT